TATAGCAAGATTCTTTCTCAAAAACACTAACACAAAATAGGACTGGGAGCGTGACTTAAATGGTAGAGCACTTGCTGAGCAAGCATGAGGCCCAGAGTTCAAAGTTCAGTACCCCCTCTCCCAATAAATACAAGTGATTTTGGTATTTTTCACCTTACGTTCAGAGACCTCGTGAATTTAGTTATCCTAATAACTTTTCTGTGGATTCCTTTGAATTTCCTAGCTGTTCAGTCAGACTGTTCATGAATAATGATGGTTTAGTTTGTTGTTTTGCATTGCTTCTTATTTCTTTTTCTCCATGAGCTAGACGCTCAGTACAGTGTTGAGTGGCAGTGGTGATAGTGTGATGGCAGCCTCACAGTGAACTTTCAACCTGTCACCACTAAGTATGATTTTGCTATAGAATTTTGGTAGACACTTTGAAATTAAGCACATTCATTTCAATTTCTGGTTCCCTAAAAGTTATTTTGATGTGACCCTGAGTTTTATGACATGGTTTTAATATGTGTAGTTGAAATGTTTGTGACTTTTTTATTTTTTTTTTGCCACATAAAAATTCACTCATTGTACTGTGTGAATTTCTCATTAAAGCATCATTTTACTAGAGTAAATCTAACTTCTTCTGTATTTTATGTTATGACTGCCTGTTTAAGGCTTTCACTCCTGTGTTCATGAGTGAAAGCTGTCCCATATGGCCTGCCTGTTGGTGTGCTAGCTTTGGTAACTTGTTGAAGGACAGGTTGAGGGATGGCCTTCTTTGTAATTCTGTGGAAGAATTTGTGTGTTATTTCTTATTTGGCAGTGGAAAAGTTGTGATTATGGATCCAGTTTGTTTAATACAACATTCATGTTTTTATTTCTTCATTGACAGTGTTGGTTGGAATTTTTGTCTAACATTACAGATTTATGGACCTCAAGCTGTTAACAGAAGCCCCTTACCCTTTTCATGTCTACTGGATCAGGTGTGGAGCCATCCACCTTGTCATTCTCATTTTTGTTTATTTGTCATTTCTTTTTTCCTTCATCAATATTGCCAGGGTTTTAAACTTATTAGTTTTTTTTTTTCAAAGAGCAACACTTTAGCTTCAGTCCTCTTTTTCTAAGGTTTGTTTCTTCTTATTTTTTTCTTTTCTTGTTGTTCCTTGTGTAGTTTCTGAAATACTCACTTCAATATTTAACCTTTCTTCTTAATGGATGCATTTAAGACCATAACTTTAATATAGACAGAACTTATGCAGGTTTTAATATTGTACTTAATTTAAAATATTTTGTAATTTCTATTGTGCTTTCTTCTTTAACCATGAGTTTTGACAAATATGTTTCTTGGGCTAGGTACAGTGGCACACAGCTGTCATCCCAGCCACTGGGGAGGCAGAGATCAGGAGGATGGTGGCTTGAGGCTAGCCTGGGCAAAAACTTAGTGAGACCCCCATCTCAACAAAACAAGCCGGGAGTGATGGTGCACATCTGTAATCCCCACCACTCAGGAGGCTGCAATAGGAGGATTGTAGTCCAAGGCCAGCCCTCAGCATAAATACCAGATCCTACCTGAAAAATAACTGAGGGAAAAGGATTGGGAGCATTATTCAAGTGGTAGAGTGCCTTCCTAGCAAGCATGACCCCGAGTTTAATCCCCAGTATTGCTGGAAAAAATAAATAAAAAATTAATCTGTTTGTTCATTTATTAACTATGTAGGTTTTAATTTTCTTTAATTATACTGTCAGAAAATTGTTTTGTCAGAAAAATTATTTCAGCCCTTGGAAGTTTGCATGTGCTTCAAAATGATGAGTATAGATACTGAAATCTATATATCTAGAAGATCACTTATTACTGCAGTTACAACTCAGGGCTGTGATTGAGCCATGCCTCCAGCCCTTTTTGGCTCTGATCATTGTTTTTGGAGGTAGGAGCTCACTTTTTGTCCAGTCTGGCCTGGACCATGACCCTCCTATTTCACCTAGTAACTGGCACTGAGATGACAGATGCATACCACCTTGCACAGCTTTTTTTCCATTGAGATGGAATCTTGCAAAATTTTTTGCCTGGGCTGGCCCAGAACCACTGTCCTCTCCGTCTCAGCTTCCCAAGTAGCAGGATTACAGGCGTGAGCCACTGGCACCCAGCTAAGTTGTATTCTTACTGATCATGTGTACACACTGCTTTCCTCAGGCTGATGACAGTTTTGTCTTTTTCTTTATTTCCATCAATAATGAATGAAATCTTTTGAAGCCATTTCTTAGATACATACAAATTTGAAAGTGTGACTATCTTTTTTGTAACTTTTGTCATTGTGAAATATCTCCCTATCACAAATGACACTTCTTACTTTAAAGTTGTCTACACTAACACAGCTACACCAGCTTTCTTATGAGTAGTATCTGGATGATATGTCTTTTTTTATATTCCTTTACTTTCAACCTGTCTGCATTCTTACAGTTTGTGTATATATCTCTAAACGTCATGTTTTCTTTTTCATAATACAGTATGATACTTTTCCAATTTTTACAGGAGAATTTAATCTGTTTACATTTAATGTAATCACCAATATATTTGGGTTTAAAATCTGCTGTCTTCTTAGGTGCGTCTTATTTGTCCTACTTAATACATGTTTCTTTTTCTTTTTCTGCCCCTTTTTGTTCTTTCTTGCCTTTTTCTTTTGACTACTACTCACTCCATTTTCTCTTCCAAGAGAAGTTTACACTCTTTTGCTGTCCTTCTGGAAGTTAACCTAAAAGTCACTACATCATAAATTTGTAACCTATCAAAGTCTATTAATTGGCACTTTTACCTTTTTCCTGGAAAGTATACAAGGACTATAACGTGCTGTCACTATTATGTCACTTAGTTGCTGTTGTTACCGTATATTTAATTATCTGTATTTTTAAGTGCAATATGTCATGTTTTATGCAGTAAAACATGTTTTATTTAGCCCTATATATTTACTGTTTTCATTGCCTTTTTCTTATCCTTGCATTTCTAACTTTTCTTTCTGGGTCATTTTCTATCTGCCTTTTAGTGTTTCTTTTAGCACAGCTGTGTTAGAGTCCTCTGTGTCAGAGACATCTTTTTTCACCTTTTTTCCTGAGGGTTGTTTTTGCTATGTATAGAGTTCTGGATTGTATAGAGTTCAGATACTTCTTCCTTTCTTCACGTTGAAACTGTCATCCCATTGCTTTGCCTCCCATTACTTCTGTAGAGCTATGAACCTAATGTTGCTCCTTGTTGCAGGTAATTTGGTTTTTCTGAGTGCTTTCAAGATTTTTCTCTTGCCTTGGGTTTTTAGCAATTCCTATGTCTAAATACAGACTTTTTAAATGTAGCTTTCTTCGGAGTTCTGTATAGATTCCTTAAATCAGCTTGTTAATATCTTCAGTTTTTTTTTTAAATGTTCTGCCATTTATCTCATCAGTGTCCTATAACATCTCCTCACCTAGTCTTCCATTTAAAAGTATGCTAGATCTTTTCACTGTGTCTTCTCTCTCTTTTACCTTCTTTTATGAATTTTCCATCCTTTTGTTTCTCCCTCCCTGGTTATGGATTTTTTTTTTTCTGACCTAACTTCCAGTCTGTTAATTCAACTATGTCTTCCTGTTTCCTTCAACATGGTATTGTAAGTCTGTCTGACAGCAATGATATCTGGAGTCACTGTGGGTTTTTGTTTTCTGTTGTTTTTTACTAGTTCCCATTTACATTGTCTTGTCTCCTTTTGTGCCTGTTTACTTTTGACTTGAAAAAATTCTTGCGAAATATTTTGAGGTGCATGATGACATTACTTTCCTCTAAAGAATACTTTCATTTTTCTGCTGGTTCCTAAGGCATTACCAACATGGATCATAAACCAGTTTTTAGGACTTAGAGTTTTATGCAGCATTCCAATGACATGACATGAAGCAGGCACATTATGTACAAAGTCTGTGATAGCCTGTGTTTAGAATACAACTTTGGGGATCCTGCAATGAGGCATGTAGGTTTTACCAAGCAGCAGTCCACCCTTTTATTCCTCTACCTCAGAGATTGGCAACTTTTTCTGTAAATATCTTAGGTTTTATGGACCACACAATCTCTTCTGTACAGTCAGCTCTGCCACCATTCTACAAAAGAAGTCCTCGACAGTGAGTGAACTAATGCTGTAGACTGTATCCTAATGTTAAGTTCTATGAACAAGATGCACACTAGGCTACATTGGCTCAGGGGCTGTAGCATGCCCAGGCCAGCAGTAGTCTGTCAGAAGCTCTGCTCAGACTCCACCACCTCTTCTGAAGTGCAGAGCAGCCCCGGGTGCTGGGCAAGCCTCTTCTTGTCCTGCTGTCCCAGCTCCCCAGTGTCTTCAAGAACAGGTTGGCTTCGTGTCTGATATGATTTTTCTCAGTGGGAGATTTAATCTGACAAACCCAGCTGCCATTGCGAAAAGCTAGCCATATGTAAGTTAACCAGGGTAAAATAATGACAGTTCCCCTCCCCGATCCCAAGGATAAAAATTTCCTGAAAAAATTTATCTCACTAGCACCATGTGATGCAAATCCAAATTTCAGGACATGTTTCTTTGGTCTTCATAGAGAAGTTGCACATTCTAGGTTAAAGCCAGTGAGCACAGTTGTCATCAGGACTTCTGTAGTTGTACTGTTTAGTATGGTAAGCACTAGCTACCTGTGCCTGTGGAGCACTTGAAATGTGGGCAGTGTAACTGCAGAAGGAAAATTTAAATTTTAATTGGCTTCAAGTTAAGGAACCATGTGTGCCCATTTAGTCTGGAGCAGCTGAAACTTAAAAGGAAGACTCTCCTCTCAGTACACTCCACCACTGAAGTGTCCATGTGTTAGTGCTCTTGCCAGAAATCTTATAACCTAAATGTGTTGAATGTATATCTTGCTAACTATCCCAGGCCCTGTTTCTTCCTGTCACCCACATGATGTGGTGGGAGTTCATGTCATCCTAAGTGGATGTGGTAAAACTGATGCAGTCAGTCCATTTGCTTTCTGACATGAATCTTTCTCCACAGGGAAAGGGCCGCATCCGTCGAGGAAACTATCCAAGTCCATCCTCTCCTGTTATAGTTCGGTTGCCTTCCGTGTCTGATGTCCCAGAAGAGACCTTAACTAGCGAGGCAGCCATGGAGACTGACATCACAGAACAGCAGCAGGCAGCCATGCAGCGGGAGGAAAGAGTACTGACTGAGCAGATTGAGAGCCTCCAGAAAGAGAAGTGAGTGTCCAGGGGACAGAGAGAAACCAGCAGTTATCTTTTTCATTTCCTTCCTTTGGTCCCTTGTTTTTCCTTATTAAATGTCTCCTATGTGTCAAGTGCTGTATCAGGTGACGGGATAAGGGAAAGACAAAGATACAGTGCCTGTGCTCAGGTAAAGTGTGAAGGTTGTCACCTCAGAGAAGGAGCTCCATGAACTGGGACTCCTGATGCTGCTCCAGTGGTATTTTGGAGTGGCTCACTAGGAGGAGGACACCATATCCACTGGGTTACCTCAAATGAGGCACCGCCTCTGACACGCAGGCCAGGGCCCAGTACCCATGACCATGTTTATCTTGCAAAGGAAGAACAGGAATCTCCAGGCTAAGACAGAGTTCCTTCCAAGAGTGAGCATTATTCACAATTCCACGAGGAAGGTTATTGTAACACATAAAGATCAGTATGGCCACGAGTCAGCGACTAGATGGTCAGGCTAAGGCAGCAACACAGCGCGTCCTTGGATGCTGGGATAAGTTGCATTTTAAGAGAGACAGATAAGAAGCTGCTGTTGTCATTATCACTAGGGACACCATCCTTTGGGGACAGTGGTTCTCCCTAAAGGTGCTAGTTCACATTGATGATTCTTACTTAAGAAGTCCTAAAGGGATTCTCATTCCTGACTCCCATCTTAGTTCTAAGTGCTAGATTCATAAGGGATATGAGATTGTTAAAGTACTTTTGTCTGTCAGGACTGATTCTAGAATTTAGGTTAGCTTAAACAAAACAGCTGGAGCCCAGCTGTGAAAATTAGTAAGGCAGAGGTGGTGATACACACTGAGCAGGGGCTGACAATTTGTTACAAAAGTGATCTGAAAAGAAGACTTACCTCAGCTCTGGTGAACATGGTATTGAAAGATAAGTAGGAGTTTGCTAGGAAGAGGAAAGTCTTTGTAGAAAAAGGGGGAAGTCTGAGCAGAGTCTCACAGGCATGGAGGCACATGGCACATGGCTAGGACAATTCTAATTGTAGTAGTGAGTTCCTGGGGAACCTGTCCTGAAAATGTCTGTGCATCTCAATGCAGGTAAAGTAGAGGTGAGGCTGATAGGGGTCTGACAGGAAGGAGACTTGATTAAAAGAGGGTTAAGAATTGGAAGGTTAAGAAGGTTGTAGGGAGAGATTAGAGTATTGGATTCAGAACTGGCATTTTTCCAGGTAATGACAAGCTGAGGATGTACTTACTAGACAAACTTCCTTATATAGGATGGAGAAAGAGAAGTCATAGACACAAGGGAACTTCATGTATTAGGTATAGCTGATACTTTAGGTTGTACGGTTTTCATTTTTTTTCCTCTGGTGGTCCTGTGGTTTGAACTCAGGACCTCATGCTTGCTAGGCAGGCTAGACTCTCTGCCACTCAAGCCACACCCCCAGTCTGGTATAGGGTTTTAAAGTGAAGTTTTGAAAAATATTAATTGAAGTAGATTGAGGTATTGCTAGGAAGTAGTGAGAAAACAAGATATTAGAAGCCAAGTCCCACTGACCTCCGAGAATGAGGGACGTACGTGACTGGGAGGTGGGCAGGAGATTAGAAGAAAGAAGAGTGGAGAGTGCTGTAACTGGGCCAGAGAAGATTAGTGTTTTTCCTTCATCCAGAGGCCTCTGTGGTTAAGGTAGAGTATAAAGTCTGTTTCTAGTTAGTAAAGTTTCATGGAACATAATATAGGAGCAGGAAGGAATTTTAGACTGTCTGTTTAATCTCTCTGTTTTCTGGATGAAGAAGCTGAGGTCCAGCAAGAGGAAGGTACTTTGTTGATGCATCAGGAATAAGTTTAGAATCTTTATCTCCTGACTAGAGTTCATTTTACCAAAATATCTCATATCCACAGCATCCTGCCTCAGCCTGTCCTCAGCCTGTCCTCATCCTGTCCTCAGCCTGCCTCAGCCTGTCCTCAACCTGTCCTCAACCCCTCTCGTTGGTCTAGACCTGCTGTCTTTCACCTTGCCTACATCCATATTGTCTTAGCCTTCATCATTGCTTTGGCTTAAAGGTCCTCATGACCACCCTGGATGGGGACAGTAAGAAACGTGATTGTCCTCGCTGTTTAGATTTTGACTGCCATGGAAGGTCTTTCTTCCTGTTACCTTCTTCCACTTACTATCAAATGCTAATAGATTTATTGATTTCTTTTACAGAGAGGAGCTAACATTTGAGATGCTTGTACTGGAACCCCGTGCCTCTGATGATGAAACCCTTGAGTCTGAGGCCTCCATTGGGACTGCTGATAGCTCAGAAAATTTAAATATGGAGTCTGAAGGTGCTGTCTCTGAAAGATCAGGTAAGTGAGCACATTAGACCAAGGATGCCAGATTGTTTTACACAGAACAAAGACGAATTCCCAAGCTAAGATAGAGTCCCTTTTAAAAACTCACTGGCCTTACACGGAAAGATGACAGTCCTAATGAATGAATCACTGGTCTTTCACATAAACAGTACATGAGAGCATCCTGTCAGTGCAATGCAGTGTTTGGGCAATTGAACATTTTCTCCTATATTTAACAGGAAAAAGTCAGACATCACAGTATATGTTGTCTTGCTGTCCTATGTCCATTTTGTAAAGATGTATTGCAAGAATTGTGCCCCACTGTAAGATAAGACTATATTCTGGGTGGCATATCTCAGGCAGACCAAGCCAACTGCATATCTTGGCAGTATTTTAAGTGATAGTCAAACACCAGACTTCCTCAAGGCTGATACTGAAATGACATGTAGAAATAGATGGAGAGCTCTTTTTATGAATTGACTGCACAGAATAGATCAGCCTGGACCCTGCAACTTTTACCCACTGAGTTTCCTGTGCTAACAGTGACCCGTGTTCTTTATGTTGTGTTGCTCAGAGGGAACTGTTGTGTACAGCCATAGTCTCTGTTTTTGCATTAGAGAGAAGCTTAGCACTCTGCTCCCTGAAGATAGCTGGCAAGTCTGAACCTTCAAGCAAGTTGCGAAAGCAGCTAAGAAAGCAACAGGACTCTGTGGATTCAGTGGACTCCACAGTTTCTTCATCTCTGTCTAACACTACATCGTCTCATGGCACCAGAAAACGATTTCAGATTTATTCCAAATCTCCATTCTACCGAGTTGCCTCAGCTAGTGAGGCCGCGGGAGTGGAAGGACCATTGGGCCAGACCAGATCCCTGGAAGACAAGCCTCAGTTCATCAGCAGAGGAACCTTCAACCCTGAAAAGGGCAAACAAAAGCTAAAGAATGTGAAAAACTCACCTCAGAAAACCAAAGAGACCCCAGAGGGGACAGTCATGTCTGGCCGCAAGAAAGCTGTGGAGCCGGACTGCAGCTCCACCCCACAGCTAGCACTCTTTGGAAATAATGAGTTTATGGTCTGAACTGACAGATGTGTGTCCCTTCATGACTAGTGTGGTAGACACAGCCCATCTTTGGGGCCTCCTCTTACCACCTCATCCACAATAGTCGATCTCACCATTCAGCTACGACCTTGTGTGCTGAATTCCTGGGTCTCCTACAGAAGTGGAAAGGCCTCTTTGAAGCCTGCTGGGGATGGTGCCAGCTGTGCCTTGGCTGCTGTATTTGAGTTGAGATTTCACTAAAGAAAGCAACCTAGGGCCTAGGGATTTAGGTCAGCAGAAGTTGCCTCTCCCCTACTCTCCTTTCCCTTCCCAGAGATAGATGTTGAGCTAGTAGAGGGAGAGAGAGTGTGGTCCTGAGGGATCCTCTGATTTCTGGCATTTGAAGAAAACATAAACCTTTCTTAACCATGAAAACAGAAGCCTTTGGGGTTATTTTGGGTTAGTTAAGAGCTAGGGTAGAATATAATTTTTCCAAGGATTTATAATTAAAAATCTAAGCCCTCTATTTTAAAATTTTGAAAAAAAACACTTCATGTTATATTCTGGGAGAAGTAAAAAAGTTATTGCTTGCATTAAGCCATCAGAGCATGTCTCAGCTATCCGGTTATACAGTGAAGAAGAGTACATGCTTTGTTTTTGATGATGTTTGATATCATAATAATCAATGCTGGTTTTTACTCCTGGTTAGTTCCTGCCAAATACATTGTATGGGCTGAAGTTTCAGTAGCCATATTCTTCTGATATCTCCTGATCAGATTCTTACAGTTTTTTTTTTTAATGTCTTAGTGACACTTAGGTGACCCCTAAACATAAAGGTCTCATCCCAATCAGTCCAGGCTTTTCTCTTTGTATAGACTAAACTGACACCACATGTGAGCCTGTTCATTTGCTGGTGGATTCCCACCTCGGATCATTTAATCCCTTTGCCCACACACTCACGTACAACATTGCATGAATAAGTGTTACAGAAAGCTGCCAGTTGTTTTCAAGTTTTTAATATGACCCTTCTAACTTCTGTCTTTTTCCTCAGACCATCAGTATTAAATAGATGAAAAAAATCAAGGACTACTTGAAGCTATTTTTGTTAATATACTGGTTACTGAAGTTTACTGTAAATATATATGTATAGTATGCCTATTTCTTTTTAACCTTGTGTTCCCTCCTTCCATGGAATTTCTTCCTGCAGTACAGGGGCCATTGGACAGGGGTGAGAGCCCTTCACCCCTGGCTAAGGGAAGAAGAAGATCATCTGTTTCATCACTGGTGGTCTCCATATACCTAAGTTATCACAACATCTGAAGCATCCTGGCATTTGTGGATGGGAAATCTGTTTTTGCTATTTATAATATATGTAAAATGAAAAACCCTTTTTGAGATAAATATGTGAAAATGTTTACTTTTAAAGTTACAAAATATATCTTGTCTAACAACCACATGCACTGTTCTGAAAAGAGCCTTTACCACCTATAACCTGAATTTTGGTTATTCTTCCTTTTCATACTTCCTTGAAGTATGAAAGTAGTAAATCTTTTGTTAAGGCAGAGTCTCCCCTGTTACATGACACTGAGCCTCCTGCCACTGCCTCAGTGGCCTGTAGCCAGCCCCACGGTCAGACTTGGAGCATTGCCCTGCATAGCTCTTGAGGTTGTCAGTAAACATTAGGCTTGCTTTCTATCTCGCAAACATTTGCCTTGTTCATGTTGTCTTGAGAAGTAACGAATTTCAAGCCTTTCAAAATAGGAATTTCAGAGACTCTCCTAGAGGAAAGGCCCTCAGCACGACGGGCCCTGGCTGGTGTGCAGTCGGTCTGTGTATCAGTATTTTGGGGAGAGTGATGTGCTGCTGGGTGTTAACTGTTACTGTCTACTTGCTCTAGAATGTTAGTTAAATCCCATGTTTTTAAAAAAAAAAAAAAAAAAAAAGATTGCCCTCCATGAAATGTCCTTTGTCCCAGAGGAGTTGCCGGAGAACATAACTGGGCACATGTTCTCCCATCTAAATCTTTGTGGTATATTTTTGTTGTTGTTGTTTTGTTTTTAGTTTTTGTTCTGGGGCTTTTTGTTTTTGGGGTGTTTTTTTGCGGGGGTAGTTGGTCTTTTTTTTTGTAAGATAAGTTTTGGGCAGTTAAAAACTATTTACATACGTCACTTTATAGGAAGTAGGTGATTGGATATTAAAAAGACTTTATAATTTTTCTCAGGGACCTAAAACCTGAATTTTGATAAAATTAAATTAAAAAAAATTTGTCTTTTCAGTTGCCAGTTTTGTGGATTTCTAGTCATTTAACAAGCTGCCAGGATAGGATGGGGGGGGAGATGTCACAATTATAAGTGTGCCCCCTCCCTTGATGGAAAGAAAGCTGTCCTCGTAGGATAACAGGCATTGTTGACCTGACAAACTTTCTGTCTCCATGTCTGTTCTTAACTGGTCCTCCATGTGGCTAAAGCTGTGTCCCAATGTGATGCTGCATTTCAGTCACTCACAATTCAGATAGTACCTTCACGTCGTCTGATCCATGGCTCCCCATTGCCTCTCCTCTGCTGCTTGTCTGTGATCTCAGATGTCTCAAAGGAAGCCTCTGCATGGCAGCAGTTGGACTGCACCACATTTGAGCCCATGAATCGGAGCATTTTACTCCAAACAAAACCTGGGTTTTCTCTTTTGCCACTAAGGCTAACATGTCCCTGCAATTGTGGATGTATCATGGAAAATGTAACAGAAACAGAGAAGTATAACTTCATTCTATCGCACAGGCACAGATTGAGGTGAAGCAACATAAATACTGGCAGGATTCAGGGAGGGGACATGCTTGGTTTACAGTATTCCTGCCATTTTGATTATTTGGCCACTTTGGGAGATACAGCCTTCCATCTAGAACCTTGCAGAGAGAGAGAGAGGACCTGAGGTCAGGGGATGGGATACTAGACCCTCCACTTTCCAGCCTTTGGAAATCTGCCACAGCTCTTACACTACTTGGAAGTTAGTGAACACTATTGTGTGAGGTCTCAGTAGGGTTTTCACGGTCCAAGATGAGGTCATAGAAGTGTGCCGAAAAGATGTGGTCGGCAAGGTTCTGCAGTTCCACTTCAGGGCCTGCAGGCTGTGTGTTTTTTAACTTAACTAATGAATATGCACCTTTCACAAGCACTTTCTGTACTAGAGAAGGAAGGATTCTCAGGATGTGCTCAAAGCTAAGAGAGTTGTAATTGTAAGAAGAAACAGTGCAGACGGCTTTCTCATTCCCCTCTTTTTCTCCTCTTGGTGGTGAGCTGGATGTGGGGCCTATGTCATTCTGTATTAAGTGTGATGTCCACCTTACACTTGTGGTAACTCCCCAGCACTGTCCCCCAGTACCATGCTGGCCTTGGTAGTAAAATTCTTGGGTACCTGTAGGAGTCCTGACTTTTTATGCCCCCTAGAATTCCTGCTTTTGTCTGATACCATTCCCACATACGATTTGGTGTTAAAAGGGTATAGGGCAAAATGATGATTGTGGAAATGGGTCTGTTAGGCCTTCTTGATCTCTTGGTTAAAGCTTTTCAAAAAAGCCCCACCAATAGGCATGTCACCTTTTATCCATCCATTCTTATTGCCTATTTATCAGCCCACTTAGGTCATATAAAAGTTGCACCTTTTGAACCAAGTATTTGTATGTAAAATGGGAAAGGTGTGGACTACAGATTAGTATTATATTATTTTAATGGATTTAAAGTAATTTATAAGTATGCTGAGTGTAAATTTTTAAAAGACTGTATTATAAAAGGACATATCCTGTGAACTATGCCATTTTACTGGTTAATGGAACAATTCTATAGGAAGAATGATTGATCTCACCCATGGAGCTGACTATGCAATCAACAGGCACTTTGTAATTTCCTTTGGGGAGGGACAAGACATCTGTATAAAGTGCAGTTTGTGTCACTCAAAATATGCACTGTATGGCTACACACAAGCAGCTTGGTGAACAAATCACCCCAAGGCTCATTAAAGAACAAAGCTTCCAGAAGCAGCAATACGTGTGGTTTGTTTTCTAACTCACAACCCCAAAGAACTTCAGGAATTTCTTAGTTACACTCAGGAGGTTTTAAGAAAAGGCCCCAATCCCAAATTGACAGGTGCAGAGGGATATTTATTAGAACCCAACTGAATTCAAATGAAGATGAGGTGCAAGGTGCTGGCCTTTATAGTGGATGCAGGTTGCTTGCTGTCAATATTTAATTTAGAAAGGATGTCAAGATGGCTCCCCCACAAGAAAAAAACAAAAGTTTGGGTTTTTCTGCATTTTGAGAGTGATCAATGGGACAACACTGGAAATCAGCAGGAGAGAAACGAACCTTGCAAGACTCAGCGACCTAGGACAAAAGCATAGTAAGAAAACTTCCTGGCACCCTGAAGGGGCTTAGCTGCGGAAGGAGGAACCATCCCTCTGTGGAGGAAGAGTGGAAGAGTCTGGCAATACTGGATGCTGACAGTACTAGCTGTGGGAAGTTTTCATGGGCCTCACAGGCTGTGAGAGAAGTAACCTGAAATCTACACACTTTGCCTTTCTTTGAGAAAGCATTGTACATCATCTCCAGTGAGCCCTTGGGGTGCTGTAGCCAGGAGCCATCTTGAGAAGGGCTGTATTGTCTGAATTTGGACTACTCCATGGGACAGAAACCCCTACATGTTTCCATCGTGGGACCCCACAGACACTGCTGCAGGTAGCTGCCTTGTGAACCAAGCTTGGCTCAGTCGAGTGACTGTGACTTAGATCCACCATGTGTTTCACATTGTAGGGCACAGGTGTGACGGTGGAGTGAGGGTGCTCCCCTCAATGTAAATAATGCCTAGTTGGGGGGCGAGGTTCTTTTGCTCTATCTCAATAGAAATTGTAGATATGCAAGGGGCAGCTCCCATACTGAGCTGAGTTCTAGAGGCTCATTATAGCAGTACACCTTGAGGACTAGAGGCCTGTTGCTCCAAGCTTTGAAAGCTGGAGGTGCACTGCTCCCGGCACTCAATGCAGGGGCTTAGTGCTCTGGGTTTAAGAGTACCGACACCTAGGGGCTAGAGTTATAGCAGCTGATCTTTGGGTGTTGGACTCTGTGCTCTTTGATCCTTTGGCAGCTCCCTCCAGCTCTCCTAGTGACTGTGACTTGTAGTCCTCCTAGTCTCAGCTCCTGCCTTTGGCTCTAAACAGCCTCTCGTTTTCTTGTAGTCTCAGCTTCTCCACCATCTCTCACCTTCCCTACTTCCACCATCCTTTGGAGTCTTAGCTTCTTACAGATTTTGCCCTCAGTTGCTCTTGAACCCTTAGCCACCTCTTGGTGTTACAGTTCAGAGCTTTGGGTACCGGGACCCTCCTCACCTGATGACTCCCTGGGACTCCTCAACCACTTCCTCACTGACGCTGCCACAACCAGACTTGGAAGCCTGGTTTTTGTCTGCTCTTGATGCAACCAGCTCAGCCCACTCTACCTGTGGCAAAGACCATAAGTAGGCAAAAGAACATCAAGAAAATCCTTTATTAGAGCCTACTGTTGAAACACCAGGGAGTAGTGTGCACAGAAGCAAAGCCTCCCAGACTAACCTGAAAAGTGTGGAGAACAGCCTGCTTACATAGCAAGAAGAGGGGTGTGGCATGTTTGTGCTTAGATAGTAATTTCACCATTTACAATCCTGCATGTGCATAGCTTCTGCTGTACCAATCAAAAGCTTTTAACATATGGGCCAATCACAAGCCTCACATTGCACCAATCACAAGTTTTTTGCTGAGTACTGATGAAATGCTCCCCCCTCCTGTCCTGATGAGAATAGCTGCAAAATGAGCAGGGTCATCTGGAGTCCACTGAGGAAGCTTGTCTTGCTGGAGTCTTCCAAAGCTGGTTATGACTGGAGCCTCCTAAAGGAGAAGCCATGGTTTCAGTAGCAGTTGTGGTTGTGGTCCTTGCAGCTAGAGTGGAGTTTCCTCAAAGTTACCATGGAGCGTTGTCAAAGAAAGGGCTGCTTGGCCAACAGCTCCCTGCTCAAGGGAGCCAGGCATGAGGGAAGAGTCTGTCAGCTGTCACTCAAAGGGTCAGATGGCTTACTCCCAACAGTTTTGACCTCTTACAGGGGAAGGAATTAAAGGGTGCTTACAATGAAGACCACCCATGGAATTAACAATCTCAACAGTACTTTAACAGTGCTTAGCTCCTATCCAAATACCCTTAGGAAGAGTCAAGTTCCTTGGATCTGGTTTTCCCTCTGAGATAAGGGGTAGATCAGTCAGATGTGGATTCACACTGATGGTAAAACTAAAGGTAGTCAAACACTTTACTCGTGCCTCCCTCCCTCCAGCACTGTGCATGGGTGCTTATCACTGAAAGGTCAGGGAAAGAACTCCATGGTTCCAGTCCTGCCCCACCCACTCATCTTGAGAAAGACATGGACATCCATGTACAGGAGGCTTATAGAAACCTATATAGACATCACCAGAAAACATCTTCACCATGACATAGAGTCAAACTGTAAAAGTACAGAACAAAGAAAGGATTTTTAAATTTGCAAGAGAAAAGCACAAGTCACATTTAAGTGCAACCCCATTAGACTAACAGTAGATTTCTCAGCAGAAAATCTACAGACCAGGAGGAGATAGAATGACATTTTTTCTGTGTCCTAAAGGAAAGTAACTGCCAACCAAGATTACTATACTTGGAAAGGCTATCCTCTAAAAGTAAAGGAGAAATAAATACGTTCCAACATAAACAAAAAATTGAGGTAATCTTAATCAAACCAGCCTCACAAAAGATGCTTGCAAGAGTCCTTTATCCAGAAGTGAAAAAAAAAAAAATACAATTACCATCATGATAGTATGTGAAAGCATGACTCCTGGTAGAAGAGTAAACAGACAGAAGAGAAATAGAAAATAATCGAACATAATACAGTAAACCACCCAGCTATAAAAATGAGT